GCTTTGGAAGAAGAAGAGGACGAAGAGGAGGATGCAGGTGGAGGTGGAGGTGTTCGTGTGCGATGGGAAGACGACGTTGACGAGGAGGAGTGAGATGGCCGACTGTGCGATGAAGCTGAAGCTGACGGTGTCTTCTTTTTCTTCTTCACAGATGTCGGGGCGTCGTATGTGAGGAAGGACTCGAAGGACATGGTGGGCACCTCGAAGTCCTCTTCTTCCTCCTTAGGTGGAGAGTCCTTCGGCACTCGTGGTCGCCCTAAAAGATGAAGATCATAATTTATTATACTGCATTAATTTCTCTTAAAATATTCAACAAATGACAAATATAAAACAAAGACTTTAATCCAGGATTTTATTTTGGATTTATGGACATCAGCACTTTTGTAAGAGTAGAATTTAAGGCAGGAAGCAAAGAAATCAGAGGAATTCTTGTCTGGAGGTTCAAGCCACAATCGGAATGACGTAGTAGGCTATCTGGCTAACGGTGCAGCACAATTCACATGTTACTGCTCACAAAACAACAAATACGACCTGGACCTTTGAGCACAATGTCTGTGAAGACCCAATAGGTGACCACTCTGTGTAAACTAGATTCAAACCTGAGGAGGAGGAGTGATTCTCGTGAACGGACAGACAGACGGGTGCCACGCCACAGCTTAAGCGTTTCTATTTTATTGACCAGATGAGCTAAAAACCGAGAGGTGCATGACAAACTCGCATAACCTCATGACCATAACTTTTTGTACGCACCGCCATTTGCAAGCGCACCAACAGTGACATCACCAACACCGACACGCCTGAATACCTCACCTAAGAGGCGTCCAGGAAGCGTCCCAGATGCCTAAACCACCTCATCTTGCTCCTGTCGATGTGGAGGAACAGCGTCTCCTTGTCCGATCTCTAACGCAGAGCCCAGGCATCCTTTAGATGAAACTCATTTCTGCTGATTGCATCAACGACCATCACTATAGGTGAGGGTGAGGACGCAGACCGACCGGTAAATCGACACGCTCCGCTCCCTCCAGCACAACGGACCGTTACAGCCTCCTCATAAGTGAAGTTTTAATTATTATTACAATATAAAAATTGTTAACTCCTAATTACTAGTGACTAACTAATTACTCAGTCACCTAACAACACACACTCCTCTTCTGCTTCACACATGCATGCTGTGGTAATGAACCAAACAAGAAAACAGTTTGAAAATCTCACTTTGTCACTTCCTGTCAGAGGAGTTTCTCGTGCTGTTTCTACGATTGCTCAGTTCCTCAGAACAGGAAGTCACTCTGTGTTGTGGCCATATTTCTTGATCCAAGCTGATAAAACACACACAACCTTCCTGTTGCACAGAGCTGCACAAATGACCACACAATGATTGCCTTTAACCTTCTATAGTAATTGTTTTGACTGTGGTATAAGCACCAGAAATCAAGAGTTAAATGACAGAAAGAAGATTATTTAAGTGCCCCTAAATCTCACGGCTTATTTCCTTCATAGCAAAGTAAAACATTACACAGTACAATAAGAAGATGGTTATCTTTCAGTAAGACATTTATGGGCTTTTAGTGAGGAGAAGATGGTGTAGTTATAGTGTAAATTGTTATTCAGGCTACATGTAACAAATTAATTCTGACATATTTGGTATCTTTAGATAAACTGGGATCTTGAGTGGAACATGAAAAATGATTTCTGTGAACCTGATATTTGACTGCAGTCTTTTAAAGATTAAAAAGACTGGTCAACTGCTTTTAAAAGGTTAATTTGTTATTCAAATGAGACTCGAGTGATAGAGGCTGTATCCCAATTCAGGGTCTGCAGCCTTAAAGTACGCAGCCTCAACGATCCTCAAGGGCCGCGTACTTAAAGAC